GGGGAGGGAAGACATTTCCGTAGGTTCATAACATCACGCATTGAAATCAGATGTAAATTCTCGAAAGCTCATCGCGAATCAGACCTGATTGTCTCCTTCGCAACCCAGTCCTCCCCTTGAAACTTGCTGCAAAGGGCAAGGGTCAAGTGTAATGGCAACAGCTCACCTCCAGATCTCGCACAGCTCCTCGCGCTCGGAAACCATTGATTCCAACAGAAGTCATAGCATCACCACTGTTGGAGAGCATACCCTCCATGCTACCATCAGCAGTCGGTCCTTGCAGCTCCCTCTCAATCATCTCTGCCGCCGCCTGTGCTTCAGCAGCATCATTCAGGGCCTCCTGCGTCGCAAGGTACTGGCTGGCATGCGCCATCTGCAGACCACATCAGCATGAGAAAAAGCCCAAGCACCACGAACATCCTTTGTCAGTCGGTACAAAAGCCTCACCAAGCCATGAGTCAATATCATCAAAATGAGCTATCAGACGGACGAAACAAACACCCGGAACCGATAGAGGGAATGGAAGAGACAGGGAATAACCTAAACCAGACAGAGGAAGCAAAAGTGAATGGAACTGCAGACACAAAGGGAACCAGCAATGGAACCAAAGGGCCGGAATGGGACCAGGAACGGCTTCACGTATCAAGTCCATTATCCTAACCTTACCTTCTACTTTTCATCAAAACCCTTCTCAAGCTTTCGCGTGCTGCTTTCAGGAACGAGGTTTTCGGGAGCTACTGTAACTAGTAATAACCAGTTTAGTCCTTCGGGACATCCGTTAAAATTGAAACAATACAGAGAAGGGTAAGTAGCATAGCCCCCGCGCAAGGATGACACGCAGAAATCAAATGGTCCACTTTTTTTCATTTTGTTTTAAGTAATTACCAGTTTAAATAGTTCAAGACTTGTTGTAAGAGAGACCATAGTAATGGACCCAAACCAACAATGGAACCAAACCTCAAATGGACCCAAAGGTCCCAAACCAACAATGGAACCAAACCTAAAATGGACCCAAAGGTCCCAAACCAACAATGGAACCAAATCTAAAATGGATCCCAAACCAACAATGGAACCAAACCTAAAATGGACCCAAAGGTCCCAAACCAACAATGGAACCAAGCCTAAAATGGACCCAAACCAGCAATGGAACCAAAACTAAAAAAAACAAACCAACAATGGAACCAAACCTAAAACCAGCAATGGAACCAAACCTAAAACCAGCAATGGAACCAAACCTAAAATGGACCCAAAGGTCCCAAACCAACAATGGAACCAAGCCTAAAATGGACCCAAACCAACAATGGAACCAAACCTAAGATGGACCCAAGGTCCCAAACCAACAATGGAACCAAACCTAAGATGGACCCAAGGTCCCAAACCAACAATGGAACCAAACATGGGCCCAAAACAGAGAGACAGCCAAATGAAAAGGCCAGAAAGAGAGGGGGGGGGGGGGGGGGGGGGAGAGGAAACAAGAAAAAACAGGAGGACCAAATATGGAACCAACAATTGAACCCAAAACAGGGGTACAGCAGTAGTAAATCCATCCCCTCTAGGAAGCAATCAATGCTGCTGTGTCAGGATCTCTCGACCACAGCGTAGAGGAAGTGCGAAGTGAGTATTTCGTAAGGGATGCAAGACCCAGTTTCCAACTTTCCAGTATTCAAATAAAATGTCAAATTTTAATTTAAATACAAATTTTCAATTTCAAATTTTAAAATTTAAATTTTAAAATGGAGTCCAAAATGGGTGCAAAAGGCCACGAAACGAGACAAAGCGTGATGAAAAGCCCCAAAACAAACCCAACCCAAAAATGATGGACCAGATATAGAACAAACAACGGAACCAAAAGTCTAGTCCGAAAAGAGACCAAGCCGAACGAAAAGGCGCTGAAAAAATGAACCAGATGTACCAAGGAAGGACAAGTACAGTTGATATTGGTTCCTTCCTTAGGTGGAGGCTACCCAATGTACATGCAGCTGAGAAACATGACACCGACACAAAGCGCGCCTGCAACCATTCGGCAAAGGCGAGCAAGCAACACTAAAGGTATTCGAGAGCCGGGGAAAGGGAACGACTCTTCCGAAAAGAGCAAGTACCAAACACATCAGCAAACGGAAACGACCTTAAGGCTTGAAGGATGAAAGAGAAGACCCCGTTTAAGGACAATCAGAGGGATGGTGAGCGACTTACTGAGTGGAAGTTTACCAGTAAACTGCGGCACGAACATGTCAGCCGCTTCAATAACTAACTGAGTAGTGCCATTCACACAAGATGAAAGAGGGTCATGCAGGCATGGGTCGGTTGCTGTATTTCCTGCTCATAGGCCCCCATCCATCCATCCATCCACCGATCCTTCCATCCTTCCATCCAACAAATCCGATCCATCCATCAGCCCCGATGATCTGAAACGGTTTTCACCTTCGCAGAGGCAGATGCAGATTCCAGGGTTCAATCCCCATACCTCACCTTACCCATGTACAGTATTGAGTTGACCCCCGAGTGTTTGAACCCGTGACCTGTGTTTCGTTAGTTGTTGTTTGTCTGTCGCAGGACTGTGTAGATGTAGGGATTCGATCTGTAGGTCTGTCGAGTAGGGGTCACAGCTTTGTAGAGGTTGTAGCTATAGGCATTCTGAAAGGTCAAGGTCGTAGCTGCTACAGTCCTGAAAGGTCAAAGTCGTAGCTGCTACAGTACCCGAAAGGCCAAGCCCACAGACTTCCGGAAGTTCCGGAAGCAGCCTTTCGAGGTTTGTCTCACGTTTAGACAGAGGCAAGTGGGCAAGTGGTGAGCCCAACTGCGTTACTTCGGCAGTGCGACTGCATCGACTTGGCAGTGCAAACCCATGCAGTCAGCGGTACCTGTCCAGTCAGTCCCAGTCCAGTCCAGCAAGTACCAAGAGGGACTGTGTGCACCATGGGCCGATGGAAAGGGGCAGACCAACGAGTTACAGAAGTATAAATCAGGAGGCCGCGCTCATCCATACATTCATTCGCTGCGTAGGCCATGCGGAAGCGCTACTACAGCGTCTTGTGCGAAGGTGGTCTGCAGGTCACCCGAGGTAGAAGTGGGCTGAAGGGAGACATAGTAGCCATAGTAGTAGTGGCGAGGTGCCATAGCCGCCGTAGGATAGAAGTAGCTGATAGAGTGTGCGTGTGTGGAGTATTCAGGGTGATCCAGAGTGAGCATGTGCAAGCAGTGGTGTCGGACACAGTGACGAGAGTGGGATGTACAGGCGCTGGTGCGCCATAGCCTGTTGAAGAGAACTTGCATCTGAACTGTGTTCTTGATTTCCATATCTCTAAGCTTTGAGTGGGCGCCCTGCGCCAGTGTGTCTCCATCTGTTTGCATGTGTGCGAAGTGGAAAGAAAGCGAGTCTGATTGCAGATCCATCTATCCATCTATTTGTCCATTTGCTCCATATCCATCTGTCAATCCATCCATCCATCAATCCGCTCGTCAATCCATCCATCAACCGGTCCATTAGTCTCTTAATAATTAATAATAATATCTGCATCCATATGTTCATTCCTCCATCCACTCGCTAAATCAACCTTTATAGTTTACCCATCTGCCTATTTGTGCAACAATCTATCTATTCATACTCACCCGGTCACACCTAACTCACTTGGTTCAAATGGTCCCTAAGAACACTGACTGGTTGGCCACAGCTGGTTAGAGCGCATCGTGGAAAGTGTCTTGGGTAACGCAATTACATGCAAGGAGCAGCCGTGTGGGTCTAATCTCAGTCCCATCATTCTGGACAATCCCAGGGTCTAATCTCAGTCCTATCATTCCGGACAATCCCAACTGTCCACGCTATGTTGTTAAACTCAAGTACTTCATGGCATATATATATATGGCATATATCCTATCCTACCCCTTAAGCAGCATTGGCCGCGGGAGGAAGGTCGATGGTCCGCTGCGCGCCGGATTTGGGGTCGAAGTTTTGAGGAGGGCCGGCGGATGAAGGCGATCCAGGGCGGGGGAGTGTGCAGAGGGGCCTGTGTACCGAAATGTTCACAGCGCACCATTAAACCACCAGTACCTTCCGGAGCACTCTGCCGAAGCTTTTTCTTTCCATGCGATGAACCTCTTTGTCTCATGGGAATACAGCTGGTAAGTCGTCGTGATATGGGGAGCTACCGGTCCCTCAGCACGGGCGACCAGTACTTCTGTGCTGGTTTTTTTTTTCCGCTTGTTTTCCCCCTTCTTTTATTTTTTATTCCTGTGGTTTTCCTTTTTCCCCATTCGGCACTCAGCTAGTGGCAGAGGAGCCGTAGAAGGCCTGCATAGCGGACTCATTGTCAGTAGAGTGCTCAGCACAAAAAAAAAAAGAAAAAAAAAAGACACGAGCTGGGGAGCTGGAGGCCACGAGGGAGTTGGGGCCTCGCTCCTTTACTATCGAAATGTTCGAAAGACAAAAAACATGAGGTGTATCCTTCCATGTTCTAGAGGAAGATTCACTCTTGTTTTGCACATTTCTATAGCAGTGGAGCGAGGCCCTTGTGCTCACACACAACCTAATTCGAGATGCATCTGCCCACAATCATGGCCAGTAGCGTCTTACGTTTTTTTTGTTCTTTTGTTTTTTAGATTTAGTCGAAGTACCCTGCCACCGAAGCAGGCGCTTTCCACGGAAAGCTGACACTTGCAACCAATGGGGCTCTCTCACCATTACTCACAGGTTCTGTGTCTATCTGCTTTCACGTCCAGAGAGTAAGAGCCTTTCTTTTCTTTTTTTTTTCAAGATTCTGTACCTCCCGTGTTTCCCTGAGGGCTGTAAACGGACTCTCACGTGTACCCAAAATTCTGCATTATTTTCTTTTTCTTTTCTCTTCCTTCTCTTTTTTTCTTTTGTTGCTTCTCTGGTCGGTCCTTTCCGTTTTCAAAACGAACAACCACCGAGGCATAGGCGAGGCTGGACCCAGCCTCCACGAATTCAGGACGTCCAAAAACTTTAGCAGGGAAAGGTACTGGTGGTTTAAACAAGCGAGCGCGCCCACGGGGCCAGGCGGCGGCGGGCGTAGATGTGAGGGAATATCTTGAAGCCGCTGCCGTCGATAAGAGGGCGGCCTTTTTTTCTTTTAGCATTTTCGTTTTTGGCCTGTCGTTTCCCGCTTTTCGTTTTTGCTTTTCTTTTTGTTTCGTGGTCGGCGTGTCGTTCCTCTTTTTTTTTCCTGATTTTTCCCGCTTTTTATTTTTTCTTTTCTTTTTGTTTCCCGGAGGGTGTGTCGGTGGGTGTGTCGGTGGGTGTGTCGTTTCGTTCTTTCTTTTCTTTTTGTTTCCCGGTGGGCGTGTCGTTTCCCGGTGGGCATGTCGTTTCCCGCTTTTTGGTTGCGGGCGTAGGCCGCACCGCCCGCACCGCAGGCGCTAAGCTACTATATATATATCGTCAAATAGAACTGCCCGGTAAACCGTAGGCAGAGAGGGAGAAGAGGACAACAAACGAGCATATATGGCATATATATATCGTCAAATAGAACTGCCCGGTAAACCGTAGGCAGAGAGGGAGAAGAGGACAACAAACGAGGGGCTGTGACAAACTGTTTCGTCGGAGTTTCACCGACTCATCATATATAAATGAGTTCAAGGAGAGGTATCAGTAGTGCTGCCAGCCAAATGCCTCAGCAGAGGACGATCGGGCAACATGTATCAAGGTAGTTGGGGACTATCGCCCAATCTACACCAGCTTAGCAACACCATTCTCTCCGGGGACATTACTGCACTGTGTTTTCAAGTGCCTAGTCCGCAGGAAGTGCTGGCTTACCACTAAGGTAAGCACTGCCTACTTGCAGGGGTTAGCGCTAGGCTAAACCTGCTACTGGTACTAGTCCTAAGCCAGCAAGCCTGCAGCTGGCTTAGCTTGCAGCAAGTAATGCTCACTTGGCATTAGACGTAAGCACAACCTACTAGTAGGCTTAGCACTATGCTAACCACTGAGCAAAGCCTGTGCTAACCACTGAGCTAAGCATGTGCTAACCACTGAGCTAGGCCTGAAGGTAGTACTAGCTTAGCACTAGGCTTAGCACAAACAGCTTGCCAGCTTAGCACCTGGCTTAGCACTATGCTAACCACTGAGCTAAGCCTGAAAGTAGTACTAGCTTAGCACTAGGCTTAGCACAACCAG